GCCAAAATAAATTCTACACCCTTTGAACAATTCCTAAAGCCCCAAACCCAAAACACCTCGCAGAGGTGCGCGACGCCCTTCAGCAGAGGCAGAGCGACGGCGGTATCGTTGGGCAGGTGCTGAAGCAGCTTCCCATGCAGGCAGGAAAAGGGCCCTAAACCTTACACCCCCAAAAACACGACCAAATTAGAGTTTAGGGCCCAATTTGGGACTTAAGTTAAGCTCGTGCTGACGCAGTCCAGTTTCTCCTTGCTGAAGCCATTAAACTCTGGTCATATGTTTGTTGGTTTCAGTTTTTGCTTTAGCAGATCATTGAGCTGCAGTGTGTTTCGGATATGAGCTCGGCGTGGCAGGGGCTTAGTTCGTGACCCCAGTCCGGAGTGCAAAGTTAGTTCGTGGCGGCTATCCGAAACCCACCGGCTATTTCTAGACCCAAATACACACTCCCAGGTACGTTGGACCCTGAGGGCAAACCCTAAACCCTAAAGTCCTACAACCTCTCCTTACCCTAAAGCCGAGACCGCAATTCAAGATTGGGGTTGCTAAACACACCTAAATAATTAGAGTGTCTAGGGTTCAGGGTTTCAGATGTGTTCTAGCCCCTAAACCCTAAACCCTTGGGGGTCGCTAGCTTATGGTTTTCTTGAGGCTCATGCACAAGAGGTTCGTCTCGGTATGGCTTCATCAGCTGGTAGCCTGGCAGTATATGCACCTTGCGAAGTTAGCACGGCCCCGGCATTCCGGAAAATTCTTGTGCGTGGGCTTAGGCCAAGCCCTCCATGTTCGTTGTTGCAGAGCTGGTCTGGGACTGTCTGGTTAGCACAGGATAGCAGCACTAATTGTATTCATCATCGCACACACCTAAGCCCTAAACCCAGCTATTGCTGGCACAGAAGCCTGAAACCCCGTGTCCCGATACGTACCATCCTGTCTCTGGGTTCTCTGCAGGATTTCGTGGATCTCTTCGACACCCTCCCGCCGGGCAGTGACGAAATTGTGGCGCTGACGGAGGTTCTGGCGACCTGGCTGGGGTGGGTTTAGGGTTTAGGGTTTAGAGATCGATGAAGTCATACTGCTAGAGGCACTTCAGAGAGACCTCGTTCAAAAACAGGGTTTAGGGTTCAGGGTTTAGGGTTTAGGGTGTACATTTTCCTACAGTTACATAGCCGCTGCAAGAGGGACACCATGTACTAGCTTCTCAGACCCTAATATTGCCTCGCCTGCATTTGTCCGAGTGTGAGAGCCGAAACCCTAATATTGGATCTCCTCGTGGTTTAGGGTTCAAGGTGTCTAGACGACTTCAGGATTGGCGCTAGAGCCCCGAGCCTTCAACCGGAACTTTAGGTGTTGGGGAGCCTTGGCCAGAAGCTTTGCATGCTAAGTATCGGCGAAGCCGGAGGCTGCACCATTCCCTGATTTAGGTTGCCGATGATTGAAGGAGTCGTGATGGCTCCTTAACTACGATGTTTTAGCCAAGAAGCTAACCTCTACAATAAGCATCAAACCTGCGGGCCTCACATACATAGTGGCCTGAATCATCATCATCGAACCCAGCAGCCCACTGCGTTCATGGTCAGCATCAGCTGTTCATTGGTGATCTTGTTGCTCTGCCTGTCGCCTCTGCCACCGTCCTCGTCGTCACTGCAACCTTATCACCACTTTGGGCTGTGTTTTCCCATCCCAGACCTTGGCAGCTATGGTCAAGGTTTGCTTCATCCCACTTGTACGCCCGAAGCTTCTAAATACTCTGAACCTGCACCCTACGACCCTGCGAACATACAGCCCTGCCCTCAATCCCCAGACCTAAACCCTGTACCTTAAAGCCTTGCGCCATCCTAAGCCCTGACACAAAGCACCGAAGCCGAGCTGCTAAGGAGAAGGTCGAAAAGGAGCCTGTTCATCGGTTTTGGACAGGGATGTGGGGAGTCAGTTTAGCCTTCAAGCCGTTTAATATCAAGGCTGAAGGGGCACATAAGCAATAAGCATTGTACCATATCCACTTTCAGAGCATCTTCCTGTAAAAATTTTTGTTGAGATACTATAAGTATACTATAAGTATAACGAGGAATCCAAACATAGTATTGGTAATAATTTAGGCCCCTTTAGTATGTAATGATTATGTTGAGGTGCTTCTGTGGACTCCTAGTTTCCGGCGGTTCTCCGTACCCACGACCGCAAGGGGCGCAGGAAGCCATCGATACTAAAATCTCCAGACGGAAGTGTTCTTATACGGGCTCTCAGGCCCTAAGCCCCCTGAAACCCTAAACCCCCCAACCATCGAAGTGTTCAAGTTTCTTAAGCCCCACACCCCGTGAAACCCTAAGCCCCGTAAAACCCGATACTATCATGTTCTAAAACGGCTCGAAGGGACCCATTATCCTGGCATTGCTCAAGACCTCAAACCTTGGCTGGTGGCTCCGGGATGTTTTTCTTGCAGTTGATACGTAGTTTTACCTCGAGTCGCTTTGCCTAGCACTTGGCTCAGAAATACTATCCCAGTTGCGAAGGCCCCAAATCACCAGGTGCTTCGATCTTTGTTGTTCAGAGTAGCTGTTTCCATTGTTTCTTGCCAAACCCTAAACCCTAAATCCCTGAACTCCAAACCCTAAACTCCTGAACCCCTGAACCCTAGCCCAAAACCTAAAGTTCAGAAACCTCAGAGCTGTGGATGGGTGAAAGGAGAACTTCGACCGCATCATCATCGACACGGCGCCGACAGGCTTCTTTCGTGACGTAGACTTAGGGTTTAGGGTTTAGGGTTGGCTGAAGGGACCCTGCTCCAAAAAAAAAAAAGGGTTTAGGGTTGAGGGTAGATTCAGGGAGCGGTCTATGGGTGGGCTTGAAGGATGAAGGTTCACGGTTAATAGAGGGGCTTGAGTAATTACCTATGATTTTTGGTGGGTTCCTTATGATGTTTTTAGTATATTGAGGCCCCCATATTATGGGTCTTGGGGCAGGTTGATGGTCGGTGTAGTAGGCATCTGGGAGCGAAGGTCTGGGGTAAAATTTGCTTTTTGGGTCGGGCTCCAAGCCGCAAAGCTGCTGGTCGGAACTCCACATCGACCTTGCCTGGAAGCAGGTCACGCCGTGCGCCTCCTGACGTACCCTGACTTTCTAGCCACTCAGCTGAACAGTGGCTTCAAAGCCGCCGAAAAGTGAATCTCAAGTTCCGAACGAGCTAGGAAGGATCCTATTGCGTATGATCTGGCAAAAGGGGTTGCTTAGTGTGAACGACGTCGCAGAGTTGTGGAGAGACCCTTACTTGCCTTACTTGCAAGGGAGCATCGGAATACTGAGTAGGGACAAAAACAAAATTGATAGCCCTGAAGATGCTCCTGAGAAATCATAAGTATGATAGGAGTAATGGTAGTAGTAGTCGTTGTCGTAGTAGTAGTCTTAGTCGTGGTCGTGGTCGTAGGAGGAGGAGTAGTAGTAGTAGTAGTAGTAGTAGGAGCAGTAGTGGTAGTAGTGGTATTAGTGGTAGTAGTGGTAGTAGTGGTAGTAGTGGTAGTAGTAGTAGTAGTAGTAGTAGTAGTAGTAGTACAGCAGTACAGTAGTAGCAGCAGCAGTAGTTGTAGCAGTAATTGTAGTAACAATAACACAAAAATAGCAGTCGGATCTTTTTTGTTATTGTTTTTACTTTGCTTTGGGGCTGTTTTGGGCTGCTAGTGCTGGATAAACCCTAAAGCCCTAAAGCCCTGAAGCCCTAAGCACTTCAAAAACAACCCTAGGATGCCCTAAACCCTGGGACGTCCTAAACCCTAAGACCGTATAACCCCCCCTAAATGTCAGGAACATTGCCGTCAACCCATCCTCGTCGTTGTAGTACATCCCATCAGGCTTCAAACCTGTAAAATCGAAGCTTGGGTTGAGGGCTGTAGGGTCAGGGGTGTAGGGACGTAGGGTTGAGGGGGCATTCGTGAGAGCCCAGCTGTAACAAGGAGACTTAGGGTTTAGGGGTTGGGGGGACCACAGCTTTCGATAGACCGAGTAGCTTGGGAAAGAGCATAATCCAAGCTGAAAGCCATGTTTGTTTCCTAGAAGGCTCCCACCGGCCAAAAGTCCTTGACAGAGCTTACAGCGAAAAAAGCATCAAAACTAACTCGAATTTGCTCGGCCCATATAACTGGCAAAACTTGTCACCCTAAGCCCAAAACACCAACCTACACCCCGAAACCCCCAGCGGTGAAATCCCAGAACCCCAAACCCTAACCCCAAAACTCAAACACCCTCCACCCCAAAACCCAGAACCCCACGGCCGCAAACGGACCCGCAAACCCTCCGATATAGAAGCGTAAATTCTTACCAGTATTATTACTTGGTTCCTACCATACTATAAAGGAGCCCCAAGCTCTACTGTAATACTTAAGGCCCCTACACTAGCAAGCCGAGGAGCGACTCGCTGAACGCGTGGCCAGGCTGCGTGAGCGATTTGGCTGGCTTTCTGGCGACAGCAAAGGCGGGATGGGGTTTATGGGTTTATTTAGGTTCTAGGGTTTATTGGGTCCCAGGGTTTAGGGCTGAGGGTTTAGGGCCTAAGGTTTGGGGCTTTGGGGTTTGGTGGTTTCCCAACTGGAGCCCGGACTTTCGTTCAACTCTCGGATGTGCTTTTGAGTGTTCTTAGACCTCCAACCATAAAGGCTTGGCTTTAGACCCGATCTCCTAATTCCGACAAAAGGGGGCCCTAATATAGTACCCTAAATAGTAGGAGTAAGATCCTCAGTATAAGGACCCCAAAATAAGGTACCCCTTATTTTCGGAAACTCCCACATGTGAGTTTCAGTCGGAGCTTTGCCCAACGGTCTTCAGTGAACTTGGGTTTAGGGGTTTAGTGTTTAGGGTTTAGGGGTTTAGGGTTTAGGGTTTAGGGTTGCATGGCTTTGCTTGGAGCGCTTGATCATGTTTTCCGGCCGAGGCAAGGAGCAGGATCTTAAGTTGAGGGCGTAGGGTTTTGGGAATGCATAAACAGGATCCTGATGTGACCGTATCATGTGAGGTAGGGTTTGCAGTAGGGTTTTTGGTGAGTGCACATGCCCATATATCATATGCCACCATAACCCTTCATACGAGAGTATCATGGGGAGTTGGGGTTTAGGGGCCCGTTTCATAGAAGCAACTGATGGGACCCTGAACCCCAATCCCTAAACCGTGGGACACAGCTTCCGAAGAGCCCAGGGCGGGCTCTTCTTATATCAAAGTCTCGAGAGCCTAAGCCCCTGGTAAACCAGGAAGAACCCGTAGAAGCGCGTAGGCAGATGGTTTCCCCATTCCATCAATCAGAAATTTCGAGTGAAACAAAAGCCAGAGAGAAACCCTGAAAGCTACAAAAAGCCCAATCCCTAGGCCCCAAACCTCTCAACCTCGCACCCTCAAACCTAAAACCCTAAACCCTCTTATGAACTCTTAGTAAGGAGCCCCAGAAGCGAACCTACACTTACCTATAGGACCCTTAAAGGAGCCCTAAAAGAGAATCAAAAGCCCTGTACCCGAAAGCTCCTGCACGGACCCCAAAGCCGTTACCCAGCCAAGCCTGAGGGTTTAGGGTTTCGGGTTTTTGGGTTTAGGGCTTAGGGCTTGGGGCTTAGGGCTTAGGGTTGCGGGTTTAGGGTTTGGGGTTTAGGGCTTGGGGCTTAGGGCTTCGGGTTAAACCAATTATATATTAAGGATTTTATAAGGTATCCCCCAAAAGGAATTACAATGGAGACTACAGGTAGGGGGCTTAGGGTTTAGGGCTGAGGGTTTCGGGTTTCGGGTGGCAGCTGGAGGTCCGGATCAGGTGAGATCCTTTCAGTTCCGCATGATCGAGCTCCAGGACTCGATCCGTGCCGCCTTTTTTTTGGGGATAGTTACAGTAGCAACTGGTTTAAGCGGTTTAGGGTTTAAGGTTTAGGCTTTAGGGTTTAGGGTTTAGTTGTAACAGTGGTAGTAAGAATAATAATGACAAGTAGTAGTATCAATTACAGTAGTGAGTTCAACAATAATAGTGAAACTCTTGGGTTTTGTTGTCCATGAAGGGTTTCTTATGGGCTCCTCTGTTGAGAATGGGTTTGCTGGGTTGGGTGTCAAGTTCGCACGGCTGGCACATCTCTTTCATGCAGCTTTTTCTAGTTTGAGTGCACGTTTGGATCTTGATCACTGGAAGGTGTTCCTTGCGGAGTCTATGCATCACCGTAAACCCTAAACCCTAAGCCCTAAACTCGCAAGCCCTAAAGCCTAAACCCTAAGCCCTAAGCCCTAAAGCCTAAGCCCTAAGCCCTAAGCCCTAAAGCCTAAACGCTAAGCCCTAAGCCCTAAACCTAAACCTAAACCCTATTCCCTAAGCCCTAAACCCTAAGCCCTAGTCCCTAAAGCCTAATCCCGAAGCCCGATTCCCGAAACCCTAAACTCTGGCTTCGGTTGTGCTGACTGAAGATATAGGTAGTATTGTTCGGGGTACCGCTTAAAGGGTACCCCTTCTGAACCCTATTTTTGGCTCTCTTAAAAGGGACCTTATTGAGAGGGTCTATATCCCCAAGGGTCCCCCTAATCCTGGCTCCCAACCTTCGGATCCATGGCTCAGCTTAGATCCCTTTAAAGGAACCCTTATAAATCCCTTTAAAGGAACCCCTATAGATCCTTTTTAAGGGAACCCCATGGATACTTTCATTGAGAGGGTCTATATCCCCAAGGGTCCTTAAACCCTAAACCCTAAACCCTAAACCCTAAACCCTAAACCCTAAACCCTAATCCTAGCTCCCAAGCTCATGGCTCGCTTCTGGCAGTTCAGGAGCTCTTCACCGACCCGGACCGAGCCCTGCATCAAATCTGGATATCTGGGGGTTTGAGGGTTTAGGGTTTAAGGTCCTTAGGTTGAGGGTTTAGGGTTTGAGGGTTTAGGGTTTAAGGCTTTGGACTTAGGGTTTAGGTTTTAGGGTTTAGGGGGGGTTTGTGCATTGCAGTCCCTGCTCAAAACAAGGGTTTAAGGTCCTTAGGCTGAAAAACGGCAGCTGAGGCAATGCTGGCAGTCATCAAGTCCGGTTTCAAAAAGGTCCTCAGGTTTAGGCTTTGGGTTTAAGGTTCAGGGTTGAAGGGTTTCGGGTTATAGAGTCTCGGGTTTGAACTTTGACGGGATCATGGAGGGAGGTGGGAGTTTCCGGAAACAAGGGGTACCTTATTTTGGGGTCCTTATAATGAGGATCCTACTTTTTAGGGTACTATATTAGGGTCCCCTATTGTCGGGAACTAAACCCTAAACCCAAAACCCTAAACCCTAAACCCCAAGCCCTAAACCCTAAGCCCTAAACCCTAAACCCTAAGCCCTAAACCCTAAACCCTAAACACTAAACCCTAAACCCCCAGATGGTTCAGGGGCTTTTGTTACTGCTGCCGGTAGGCGCAGCGAGCCAAGCTCCTCAAGACCACTCAACTTCGGCCTCTGGAGCTCAACTTGTGATGGCAGGGTTTAGGGTTTAGGGTTTAGGGTATAGGGTTCAGGGTTTAGGGAGCAGATTCAGCCTAAATCAGCACTGGTACTGTTCCCTAAGCACTCTGTAGCATACTTGCGCTGTGAACGGTCAAGGCCCCTGTGTTAGCTTCGCATGGACATCGTCCAAAGTCTCGCGTGGAGGGAGCAGCGCTGGCCAACCTGCCTCGCTGCTTTTGGGTTCCTGCCTGGATGTCCAACCTGCTTTCTGCAAGTCTAATATAGGGACCTTAATAATTAGAATAGGGTTTGGGGTATATTATACTATAATATAAAATTATATTAAGGAGCCCCCCAAAACCCTATTCTAATTATTAAGGCCCCTACATTACAGCTTGCACACCAGGATAATTCATAAACTCACGCAGACGCAGCTTGCAGCCCGTGACCTGACACGCTGGCACGACATGTCTGTGGGAACCACTGTCTACATACTATCGAAAATGAAAACGATGACAGGATGATGGCGGTTTCGGAATCGTGTGGGTAGGTTTGAGGAGCACGGTGTTTACAACAAGCATGGTGAGGCCACACCATTTTTCTCAGGATACCAAGATAGCTTAGCTACAACAGAAGCCTAAACCCTAAACTCCCGAGTTCTAAAACCCAGAGTCATTTTGCAGCCTCGCTGTTGCCCCTACCTACTTCCATAAACATGTTACTAATTGGAGGGTCATGGAGGCAGCCCCCAATCCCGCCCATGCACCCCAAAGCTCCGCGAAGCTGCGAATCATGTCTCCATTCTAGCCTCTGTCTCTCTATCTATCTGTCCGTGTCTGCTATCCGTCATCTATCTGTCTATCTTTCAGACTATCCCTCTTACGATATATACACATTTTCAGCTGTATATATATATATATACATATGTATATGTATGTACGTATATCTACATGCATGTACATACATGTCCGTCCTTCCATACAGCGATCCATCCATCCATCCGTCCATCCAAGAAAGAAGCATACATACATACATACATACATACATACATACATACATACAAACATACAGACACATACATTACATTACATTGCATTACATTACATTACATTACATTACATTACATTACATTACATTACATCACA